AACGTGATCGCGGGATACCGGTGCGGTGTCTCGAGTGTCGCACACTCTGGCGTGTGCACGGTGAGCCGCGCGCCGGCAGAAAGGCATTCTACTAACACGTCCTAGATTCATACGATTATCCGTCACCATTCCACTCACCTCGGCAAGCAGCGTCAAAAAAAGTAGCAGACTGCCGTAAAAGGTGAAATTCGGCTGCGGGCGATCGACAGCCGTGCTCTTCATCCTTAACGAAGTCATGGGGCGAACGAATGCAACGAATTCTATCCACCGCAGCCTCCCTCCTCTTTATTTTCCCCTTTCTCTTCTGTTCCGGTCTACTTGTCCGCTAAAACTCTACTTGTCGGCAAAACACTTTCCGTCACCGCGAGAACAACACGCGCTACGCATACACCAGCTCGCTCTGTCCCTCAATCGATCGGAGACACTGGAATTCGTTCGGCGTGCCTCGTATCACGAGAAATCATGTGTCCCGACCTGATGGACATCCCGCGGCAACACCTGTTTGCCTGACTTGCAGGTACCACGCGGCAGATAACAGCAGCGAGTTCGAGGAGCGAAGTAGTCAGAGGGAACGACAGCTGCCATATCCATCCGCGGGCTAACTTTAGTTCGGGCTGGCTGGAACACGCTTCTTTTTCCCTCTCGTTGTGTCACCGCGGCTCTGCGTGCCACGAAACCGCCTCGCTCGCCACCTTTTCGATTCCTCGCCGTTTCTCTCTTCGTCTACCTCTCGCGCGCGCGCTATTCTCGATCAAGCGTTCGGAAACTGAACGGTGCTGAGATCACGTGGCCTTCTTTTTCCTCGTCCTTCCGGTTCCTCCTTCCGTCATGACTGCGAAAGCTGGAACTACTCGGTGCTCTTCGTTGACTAACGTTCTTTCTATTTTTCTTTCCCTTCTTTTGTTCGTTTCTTATGATCCGTTCCTAATTGATTTTCAGACTAGAAAGTTACTGGGCGCTGTTGACACGGTCGGCATACCGTCGATCGACCGTCGAAACGAATCCCTAAAGAAGAATCGCGTTTCGTCGGCGGATAGCCGTGTGCGTTCGGTAACGACGTTACGTCTTTCTGTTACGTGAAATCCGAAACGAAATTGCTCGCCGCCGTTGGAGAATTTCCTCTCGGTACGTTCGCCTCGCTTCGTCGGAACACTTGGGACGGGATAACGACCCGGAGGGGATGCCGCCCTTCAGCGCAGGCGGGACAACGACAAGGTAACGAACTGAACGATACGGGGACTCTCGTAGGTGTGTAACACTTCGGCTGTGTTCCTTCGGTTCTCTTTGATTTATTAAATACTTTCGACTGTCTCCTGGAATGTAAACGGCCTGCGTTAACAACGTCAGGAATGCGCAGCGGCGAACAAAAGTATTGGCACTGCCGTTGCGTCGTAGGATCACGCGTAAATCTGGGACAAGATAACGAGGATCGTAAGATAGTCCTTTTTATAAAATGTAGTTTTACTCTTCGTAAATTAAATGTACGCTATACCATGCATATTGGCATGAAGTGTTGAGCAATAAAAGTTACTGGTTTGCAATATCTTGGAAAGATTATATAAGTGTGGTTACTGGGATATTGTGACTGTTATTGTAGTATGTCCGTGAACGGATAAAACTCGAACAAAAATGTTTAAAACTTTAACACGAAGACGTCTTTATGATGTTGGCGATTTTGACTTAATGAATACGTAAATGGGTTGTTTTAATGTATGTATGTATAATTAGAGAGAATAGGAATATACGCATTGTAAGCTGCTCAAGGAAATGTAACTACCGACACGATTTAGAAGATTGGTTATTATGAAATTTTGTGTTAGATATTGGTACGCTTATTACGAAAAAATATGTCTTACAACAGAAGAAGAAAAAACGTGAAGATGAAAAACAAGAAAAATGGGAACAATCTATGACATTTACGTGAGCGAGGAAAATTCTATTCAGTCATGATAATAAATACTGCAAAGTAATGTCCATTCCAAAACTTATCGATCGAAGAAAAAGTACTCAAAATTCTTTCAACGTTTTCGTAAAAAATTAATGTAATATTAAGAGGTGAGGTACATCTCGAATGTTATAATAAACAATTTGAAGACTATTTACAAGTAATGTGAACGAGTAAAAAGTGGAACCATATTAGCAAAATTAAGTAAAAAAAAGGATGAAATTTTGTAAGTAACTGTAAATATTCAAGTATAGCGTTTAAGGGTAAAATACTATTTTTGGAATAAATTTAATGTTTCTGAACGCAACAGGCGAAATTTAATATGGCCAAGGTCCAATACTGAGTTAGACGTGAACAACATCGTTCCAACTATTAAACACGGGGATGGTAGAATAATGGATGGGGTAATGGAATAGTGGTGTATGAGCTCCTCTGGGGTAGGAGAACTTGTCTTTATTGAAAATTCGATGGACACGTCGAGTTAGTTCAATATTTTCGAACGAAACTAAAAAACTATAAATAAGTTTAATTAGTTTATACGGTGTGTCAATGGAGTTTTGATGTCACATGTATTATTAATCCAGCCTCAATTTCAAGATTAGAATTCGATCAAATACCTTTAATGTGTATTACGCAGGAAAATGAAATCATGTCATATAAATCACTAAAAATTAGTTCATTCAATACCCAACGGTTTGAAAGAACCTATGTGGAAAGGATTACGTATAATATCCTTAGCATTTCATATTATAAAGCCGTAGGTGTGCCAATACTTTCTTCCAGTTAAAACAGCTCACAGTGTACACTTTCGAATTTCTAAAATCGTACAAATGTAGAACGCTTATGACTCATTATACATACAACTTACAAGTTCAAAGTTACATTTCAGAAAACGTTGTAACAATACGTATTCTGTTCCAGATTTGCCCGCGATTCTACGAGAAAATGATGCCAGTGCCAATGGTTTTGTTCAGCACTGTAAATAGAAAATAGTTCGGGACATGAAAACGATTTCAATTAGTTGAGCTTGCTCCTTCGTGTTTCGGGTCCCAAAGAGATTCTACGCTAAGATATTTGACTGTGTCGAACGGTTGCCGCTCTAAACTTTGATCCACTGTCAAAGAGTATTAGGTCGAAACGTACCGCCACATTCGATGCCCCAACGTCAAGGTGAAATACCAGCCGCGAAACGGAACTTATCAGCACAAACAAAAGTAACTGCCTACTGACAGGAACGAGTTCTCATTCTTTCGATCACTCTTTGGTTTCGTCGTGGAGGCCACACCTGCGGGATCAATATGTCAAGGTACCATTCCGTGTACGATCGCGGAACCGAAGGGAATCACTGAATCACAGAACGCATCACCCAGATTTCAAATCTCGTCGAGCCAATACGTACAGAAGTTTCTCAATGTACACACGCGTTGTCCCAGTTTGCCGGAAAAGATGCCGAGTGCTCACGGGAAAACAAGGACATGTCACTCGAAGGGAAACGCGGGGGAAAACACACGGACGGGTATCCTTTGTCCATGGATCGGTTTCCGAATCCTGTTCTACTCCCAGAACGGTAACTAATAAACGACGAGACGCAGACGACACACGCGAATGAAACGCTCGCCACGAAAGCGGAAGAACTGGGGGGTACAAAAGTGGAATCAACGATGGGAAAACCGAAGTTTCGTCCGTCGAGAGGTACACTCGATCAACTGGCGCGCTTTCATGACGCCTCTCCCGGTGCAGGCACGGGCAACGGGACCTCGGCACTCAAACTCGTGGCTTGCCGAACCAGCAGCAGCTAAATCGCTTGCCTTGCCTCGTCCCTAGCCTCTCCCACCGTTGCTCGGCTAACCTGACTGCCTTTCCATTCCATTCTGATCTTTTTTCTCTTTCTATCCTCCGAATTGCCGGCTGCCCAGGCCGAATACCCGGCGCAGCCGCCGCCACCACCATACCTTCCCTACCATCAACCTAGCAATGACTACTCCCACCACCTTGCACATTCCCTGCTACCAACTCTTCACTGCTTGCTCCCTCGCTGGTTTTCAAACTAGAGTCTATGTAATCCACGGATATAATATACCAGGAACGTAACTTGTTAGGGAGATTTTGTGTGCTTCGGGGAAAATTTGTCGGAAAATTTCATGTGAAATGCTTTCTGACTGGATTTCATTTGAATGCAGTTTCAGAATGTTTTTAGATTCTGTTCTTCTAGAGTGTTATTGTTATTGACGTTTAGTATGGTTTGTCATCGACACGATGAACAGAGGGAGAATTTGGCAGCTGAGGTCTGCCAGCTGCAATAGGATGATCCATGTGTTGAAATGTATAGTCAAAGAATATTATATTTTTATCAATTACATATTAGTGAGAATATTAGTTTTGAATCAATAACTTTAGAGGTAATATTATTGTCAAAGACTATTCTTTTGTGACACACATTTCCGCAAATTTTCAAAATCAGACTTTTGTTTTGTTTAAGGAGATTTTTATAAAGTTTATATACATTAAAAGTTAATGTTCTGTTGGGTGGCCTCAACTACACCCCTTTGTATACAATTTTTATCGCATTAATTGAAAAATTTGTCCGTAACATTGGATTCTTCTTTGTACTATTTTTCAATTCAAATTCTTTTTAAATTATTTTTATTTTTGTTGAAATGTTCACAATCAAATGGTCAATTCATTCCAAATGTACAAAATGTACAGCAATTATATTTTGTCTATAAACGACTCTCACGCCATTGAGATCATTGTTATTATAAAATTTGAAGTAGTTAAAAATTCTCAATTTTATGGTAAAGCTTTTAAAATTATTTTAAAAAATATTTAAATAATAGCATTTATGCAGGTTATTTGTGATGGCGACTAAATTACCTCCTCAGGTAGTAGATGCAGTGCGAATCATAACCGTCCCACTTCTATGTTTAATGGTGGATGTTAACATTTGTATTTCACAGACTTCCGTCAGTTAATTTTATTGTCACTTCAATACTTGAATGAGAAATATTAAATTTCGTTTCGTCTAATTGTTCTCTTTCAAAAACTGGCCATTTTCTTTCATTTTTGTTCTTAATAATTTATTCATTTCGAATTGTATAACTATGAAAATTATACTTCTATCATTCGCTTTAATATTTTTCGTAGCCATCTTTTATTATAAACATGGAATTTCTTACTTAGTGTAGTTCCTGATTTATTTGGTGTACTATTTTATTCTTAATAACGATACATCAAACAATATTGACACTTTCGTAGTGCTAATAATTTTCACAGTTTTACAATTCCTTTTGCCAATTAAAAATGTTTTATTATAATTCAACGTTCCTATGTCATTATTGGTTTTATTTTTACTTTAGGTTTTTGTTTTTAATTTCGAATTTGGACGTAAGTATTACATAATATTCACTCACAATTCACGTTTAAATTTATATCTTTTTCGTTTCCTCGCAGGGATTCCCCTTACGCAGCACCGAGAAGATGTATGCGACTCGACAATTCTTGTGAAATTTTTTCCAAACTGAGTTATAATAACTTCATTTGTTTATATTTGGAAAGATTCATTTCTCACGTTATTAATGTGTAATAAATATAAATACATTTATAATATACATTCTCCGTATTTTAATTTCCATGTTACTCTTAAACTTTTTTATCGGGTGAAACGTATTTTTATGTAAGATGCATGAATTTGACTGTTACTCACAATAATAAGTAGATTAACTTAATCTTTACGATTTTATTATCATAAACTTCCTTCTCATATCTTGAGATAGTTTATACTTACCCACATTCGATCTTTTGATTCATATTTATTAATTATAATTCATAATTGCAAATGTTTCGATTGAAGTTCGTCGTTGAGCGTCGAAGTACATACAGTATATTATGCATTTGAATAATATTAAAACTTGCAAGCTAGTTTGCAAATAACTAAGGTCTCATACTTGTTATTGGTACTAATAGATGCATTTTACTGTGTTTTGAACTTTACAGTATTTTATATATGATTATAACTATTTTTTCAATTGTTGTACTTTCAGACATCTTGAATTTAAAAAATAAATAGACCTTCTTTCAATATTAAATATCTGCTTCATATTATGTGGAAACCTTTCTATAATGTTATCATTATTAATTCTACAATTTAAGCTCTGTATTAAATTTCAAATATATCTTTGAATCTCTAAAATGAGTTAGTAATTCTAGTGTTGTATCAATATTTGACGATGAAAGCAATATATTTCTATTCACTCCAGGTATATTGTTGTTTAAATAGATACTTTCTTTTCAAACTTTTAATCCATTCATTAACAAATTAAATTAAAGTATATTCAACGGTGGTACACTTCAGATCCATTTCTTGAAATCCATTAATGAAATCAATTTTGTTGCCCGTACAAGATAAACCTATTCTTGTAATTTTAAAATTTCAAATTCTTGAACTTTAAGTTTGTTAAGATTTAATCAAAGAACAAATTTGATTAAATAATACAATAAGGAAAAATATCCACTATCCTTCTACTTAAATATCCATCTTGAGAATATTTTAACACACAATTAATTACAATCACAATTAATCTTCATTATATGTATTTATTCTTATTTGTTTCTATCTTTTGATTTAATAATCTTACCTAATTCACTCACTTCACATTCATTCTATGAAATAGATCATACATTTAGTTCATAATAATACATACATACGTAAATCGCATTGGCTTTCTAATTACAATAGCTACATTTTTTGTTACATGTACTTGTGAATGAAACGATTTTTAACGTCAAGTTTATTATGTTCTTCGAATGATTAATTCTATATTCTTTAAAAACATTTTCCTATATTATAATAAGTAATGAAGTTTCTCTTTACAATATATCTTAATATATTTGTTCAATAGTGTATATGTACATATAAAGTTTATGAAAACAATAATTACGAAATTCTTCTAATTAATACTTGTACATTGTTTTATTGAAAATGTATAGAAAATTCAAATATTTCTTAATATTTTAGAAAATTTGAATTGTTTGAGCATTATTATGGTAATGATAAATAATTACATCTAACTTATTTATCTATTGCTACAAAAAGTAGTAATTTTAATACTATATTTGTAAATAAATTTATTTTTAAAGGAAGAATTTACATAATAAAAGTTTCCTTTGAGTAAACAATTATTTAAATTACCATATAAGAAGCGGGAATATAACTGTGTCATTAACGATTTGTACTAATAACTTAGAGTCAATGAAGAGAATGATACACAGGCAATATAAGAGCCTCAAATGTAACTATACAATAAAAATAATGATTCAAATAATATTCTATACCCATATAATAGAAAGAATAAAAGTTTTCAAAAATAACTAATCGTCTTCATAGTAATGAATACGGAACAAATACAAGAAAGTAAACAATGTCATTAGCGATGAAGTTGGAAGCACTGTACCGTTCCTTCACTTCGACAGCCATTTTGAACATCATTGAATTGTGTGCATCACGCGCTAACGGGAGAAATACATGCAAATCAATTTTCTACAAATCAATGAATGAATTATAATAAGAAATACATTATTTATGAATAGTAAATAAATTTATATGTCTACATTAAAATAAATTATAACGTAGATATGTTACAAACTGTTTTAAACAAGAAATCTGCACAGTTGTCAACTTATCATTGTTAGGTAAATTAATTTATAAAGTAGAAACTGTAATTAGTTGCTTAAACTTTTCATTTTACATTACACTCAACAAAAGTAAATTAATATAATAATGTGATTTTTTATGAACATTTTCATTTTAATTGTTAAGGAATACATATTGTTATAAATAAAATTATAAATATTAATCATTACTTATGCATTACTTATGAATAAATCTTCAGGTTTAATTTCTTTCCCTTTGTTTGTTACTTTGAAGAACCAAACTTTGACGACAACGACAGTTTCTTTCGTCTTTGTCTTTTCTCCTTTGATAGAAGAGTTTCACACATGTTCACATTTGCATCAGTAGAACCGTGTTTACTTGTTTCTTATGTTCTGTAGAATGTACTATGGAAAACCTTTTATGGTGTTTACATTCTTTTTCTTAACATTTCAGCATCAAACTTTACTATACTATGTGATAAAGACACAAAATGACTCTGGTCCATTACCATTTCGTCAGATTGATGCAGTATGCATTATACAGTTGTCTAACAAAGCAGTTTATCTTATATAGAAGAAATATGCATATAAGTAGTTTCTAAAATTGATTAGAAATTTAAATCGTTTATACGAGAAGCGAATTCGATGAAATGTTACATCAGCATTCAGATTAACGCATAGTATCAATATTCGGTATTGATTAAACCATATTGTTTCTTTAATCCATTTTTTTTTGTAGTCACATATTTGCTTAAATGCTATATTTTCCCCTTGTTTAAATATTTAATATAATGTTAAATGTCAGAATCTCTTCCATTTTTACAAAATGGATTGAGCGAAAGTACAGTATAAATAAACAATATAGTACCATTTCTATACAATTAGTACTTTATTCAATTGTTGTGTAATCTTACTGTGTGTAATTTAACAATTAAGTATTGTAATTTAAATTGTATTTATGTACACTACATTTATATGTTCATATTCATTAAATTTAAATCTTGTATGCCATGTGTATGGTTCTGAAATACCGACAGTGCAAAAATCCCCTGATACACTAGCGAACTCTACCTAAAACGAACATTTAGCCACTGAACTACATAAGGCTGCAACACAAAAAGTATGAATCAAAGGACTTTTAGCCTTTGCAGTGTTGTCAGATCTAAAAAATACAGTGTTGTCGTGATTTAAGAGTCAAATTGGTAAATATCAAAAGGAACTCTTTGATTATAATTATAGAAGACTACTTTGTGGCCAAGCATGTTAGGCAACTACAGTAGAAATGGAGTATGTAAAATGTCCAATTTCTACTAAAAAATTACATTCACGAATTATCAATAATGACGGGAACAACAAAAAACAATCCCTTACCCTCATACAATTTCAATTTTTATTAAACAACAAATTCTACACATGTCACGTCTGTGCGTATTTTTAAATTTGTGTCTTGGATTATTATGTTGGTAAGAATCAAGTAGACTTGGGATATAAAAGTCTATAAGGTATTCAATCTATTCTTGCGCTTAATCTGTGGTTCTAAGATTAATTCAATTTAATGTACTTAAACGTAATCAGTAACGAATTAGGGAAGAAGTTAATTATATTGTTAGCGAATATAGGTATAAATTATTTCAAAAATATAAAATAAAAAATATTATGTTGGTTATTTCGTTATTTACACTTTAGAGATTTAAAGAAAGTTTTTGTCAAAACTGCACATTAAATAATTTGGAAATATTAATTACTGTTTATTGTATGCATTGAAGTAGACCTTATTTTGATCCCTAAACGAGCCAAATAAATTATTTAAATATTGATAGTCTAATAATAATTTATTTAAATATTCATATTCAAATAATAATTTATTTAAATATTTATAATCAAATAATAAATTGTTTAAATACAGATATTTAAATATTCATATAGAAAAACTCACATTTATATGATTTTAGTCAAATAATATTTTTAATTTGTTGTTTTGGATTTGGATAGATTCCTCATTTTTAAAAACAGTTTCGATTATAACTTCCTACGACCGATTAAAATGCAGGGTAACCGTATATGTGATTTTAATTGTTTGAGAACATACAGGTGTCGTTATTGCCATAAATAACGATCCTTGCCGTAGAAACGAATGGAAGGGACTCCGTGGGCGATGGAAACAAGTATGGAGGAGGTAGAAATGTATTCAGATTAAGAATCTCAATATTCCTCCTCGAAATTATCAACGAAACTGTTTAAATGTTACGCAAGCAGTACATAGTAGATAAAAATAAGTCTTTATGACTTCTTGTGAATCATAATTGAATGAAATATTATATAATGGCTGTAATGAGGTTAAGATAAATTATTCAACCATGTAGCTACTGAGCATGTAATCACTGAAATGAACTCAACATTGAAATTATGTGAATTAATTGGCGATATCATCACTTATAAATTTGTTTAGTTAGTTAGTTATTAATGTAAACAAAAAAGAACTAGTTTAACTTTTTAATGTATATTTATATTTATATTTTATATCTTGAGGCATTTTATTCCCTGCTATTTAATGAAGCGTTAATTTATCGTATTAATTTGTTTCATTTCAAAAATGTCTAACTTTGTTTTAATTCATTAAGACTTAAAAATTGTATTC